AACTTTTGGGTGTTAGAGGGATTCGGAGGATAAGCCGGCACGTGATTGAAATTTGGTGACACAACATGGCTACAAAAGGAAACGCTGGTGCACCGTCAGGGCTCAAATCTTCTTCTTAGTGTGCTTTTGTTGGATTTTCCTTAGATTCTATAACTAGGATTAGACCAGCCTTATCCACTTTTGAAGTGGGGCACATAGGAAATAGTCCTAACTCTACAAGTAGTTTAATTTACTTTTATTATGCTTCTTTGTGACCAGCATTAATCATTTTCTGATGCTTGAACTTTTAGTTATCGAACACATGCATGATAAGAGTTGGAGTGCGCATGGTTTTCATTCTTGCTGTTTGTCGTAGTTGTCTTTTCTTTATTTATTCTTTATTTTTATTTCCCTGCTATTCTTCTGGTACTTTATTTTTCTCAATCTCCCTGCAGTTGATGCAATATATGGGATTAATCTTGTCACCTTGGTTTTACTGTTTGATTTGATGGCTTCTTCATTGTACTAAATTCGATCAAAGTCCTGTACTGGAAGTTTCTCTTCTCTGCCTCTGTTTGACATGGCCCTGAGTGGATGTTTCTTGTTAATTGTATCTTGTTTTCTTTTCGTACATTCACTAGTTAAATTACTGAACTATGCTTATGATATTTTTGTTTTCTATTATCAGGTTTCATATCTGCTCTCCTTGTGTTTGGAAGGTGCACGATGAGAGGGTTATGTCTGTTACTTTTGAATAAATTCTTAAGAGTTCTGGTGAGTGTGTTTTTCTTTCTTGTTCAAGTCTTTCATGTTAAATATTGTTTCTTTGAAACATATGAACAGATTATCTTGTTTTGTCATATTCAACATGTGCCGACTAGGACCCTCGAACTATCAGTAGCTATTTGATGTCTTGTTATATAATTTCATTCACTTTGAATTCATTCCTATTGAAAAACAGAAAAAACTTATTCCGGGACAAAAATCTAATCTTCGACTTTGAACTTTGAACTTTCATGTAGGGACAGTAAAAATTTTATGTTGGGCAAGACTTTTGGCTTTTGAAACAATACAAATCTTCTTAAACGTTGTCGATTTATATTATCTCCTTCCTTGTATATGAACTCCATGCAAATTGCCACGCTTTCTACCAATACTTGTTTCACGCTTACCTTTCATGTTTAATTTTTTGTAGCGTCATTAGAGTCCTCCATCTCACATTGTAAGTTCTATTTATGTAAATTTCTTTTGGTTTTCTTTGCTGCAGGCGCGAATACGATTTTCCCATTTTGATAACCAACGTTGCACCCTACACTAGTTTGCCAATTTTGTCTCGACATTTCTATCAATCCAAGGTGGTTGGGTGATTGTCATGGGGCTTGTTTTCTATTGACAAAAAGAAGAAAGAAAGAAAGACGAACCAAGTCTGTAATTACCTAGAAGAAGACAGCTATTCATGTTCTGTAGTAGTTCTTCTCTCTGTTTGTGTTTGTTGGGTTGATGTGTAGAATGTGAGATGTGTTTAGAAGTTGGGTATATTTGGTAAGTTGATAGTTGCCTCTTGCCAAATTAATGAGCTAGCTCATAAGTTAACTTCAAGGTGACATAGCAGGGTTAATATTATTTTTCAACAACATTTAGAGTTAATATTATTTTTTTAACAAAATACCGCTGTCTTTGCTCCAGGGTTTACATGCTACGGCGTTGCAACACATAAGGGACGAGCGAATTGTAAATTTGGTCCGTAGGTTTGAGCTTATAGTAAAATTGATCTCGTACATTGCACAGTCGG